GTGTGTGTGTGTGTGTGTTACATATTTGCCTGATGCCATCAGTGACGGTGGATTCCTCTAACAGCGGGAACACATTATGAGCAGCAGTTAAAACTAATATGAGAAAAGGCACTGGGAAAATGTGTTTTATCTGAGTTACTAGGCAAATGTTTTGCCCCAGGTTGATTTTTTTACAGCCAGCTAGCTGTAGCGAAGAGAAACCCGCTCATGGACAAAGTAAAAGTGGTCAGATGGCCGAGTGCAGGAGAGCAGGGTCACAGAGGAGAGTGTTTACACAAAAAACACAACATGACAACTAGCTTTGGGTTCTTTGTTTTTGTGTGCTGACAACCTGTAGCCAAGAGAGGAGGTGACTGAGTTAATGTCAGTGAGCTGTAACAGAGCAGGATGTGAGCAGCTGAAGTTCCTGTGGACATTAGGAAAGTTTGTCATGGCTTGGCAAAGCTTTGCTCTACTGTACCTTTGCACAGCTAATGTTTACATTGATTTCTGACACTCTTCCTCCCTTTCTGACTGCTCTGACCTTTCACGTTTGACAAAAGACCTCCTGTTTAAACCTTTACACAAATGATCCCTGGCAGCCACTCTCTCTCACACACACTAACACATTTACACAGGGGGGAGTGAAACCCCATGGAGAGTACTGTGTTTTCCTTATCACAGCAGGCAAGGTCATACTAAGTAAACCCTCAGCTGTTGCGTGTGTGTGTGTGTGTAGCTGAGCGTGACAGCTGCCTGATCCACTACACTTTTAATATTGCAAAGTCTTGACTAAAAGTCTGAGTTAGCCTGCTCTGATCAGGAGCAACTATCCTGCATCCCTGCTTTGAATAAAGTCAAATTCTGCTGCCAGGTTTGACTCTCCATCACACTGTAAACATCATGCATTCCCAGTATTCTCTATCTATATTGTCACACCTTCCTGATTAATAAGCCCTGTCTGTAGCTTATCAGTAAGTGCAGTATATAAACCGATGTAGGAAAAAGAGATGTTTTCCCAAAAAGGGTTGGCCTCAGCACTCGGCTCTACATTATCCTGCACAATCTTGCTCAGTTATTTGCTTTCCAGCATTGACCGCTGCAGCAGTCTGCTTCATTAACAGTAATTACGCTGGCTCTGAATTGACTGCCTTCATTACATTAACTGCTGCTGTATTGGATGTTTAGGTCTGCAGTCACAGCAGTGCTCGTATGTTTCAGTGTGTGTGTGTCGGCCAACACAGAGCAAGATAGATGAAAGAACTTAAAACATTTTATCTACTGAGTGCAGCAGCAGTCATTAATCCACTGACCCGTTGGTCGTTAGACACAGCGATATTTTTCGGTCTCCCACTCTTTCTCTTTCTGTGTCGGCTTCATTAACTCTGAACTGTCTTCTCAAGGGGGATTAATAACAATAACCAGGAAGCGCGTCCATATCTGCAGCAGCAGTATGTGTGTCAGCGGATCACACATGCAGACATGTATGCCCTCATAGCTCTGCCGCCTGGCGTCGACAAGGCAGAGTGGCTTGCCAGCAACAGTAAGTAGTAACAGATTTGTGTTTGGACTCATTTCTCTGTAGCTCTTTAACTCCCAACACTTTTCTTCTTTCTGCAAAAACAAAGAAGAAGAGAGAAAAGCAACGTGCGCAAGATATAATGTTGCTGTGCTTATTTATTTTCTTTCCAGCTGTGGCATTTTTCAAGCATATAAACCTGTTCTCCAGTGCGCTATCAGAGTTCTGCACTCCCAGCACATGCCCAACTGCCTGTGGACCAGGCAACGCGTAAGTTACTCAGTATTATACTGCAAATTGTGGCACCGTATGCAGATACAAAAGCTGTTCTTGATGTATGTTATAATATTATATTCGTATTATATATGGGTAACCTTGTACGCTGTATCTGTTGCAGTCATTGGGGTAAACTGCAAGCAATCAGCATGTGCTGAAGTAAAATGTCCAAGCTCCTTTTAGTCTTGTAAAAAAAGAGAAAATTATGTTTATGTGAATTGTTTTAAAAGTTAGTTTTTCACTTTTTCCCAACACTACTGCCAGCAAATGGCCTTTTTGCTAACAGCATTAGGAGAGCTTGCATGAGGTTGACCTAAATGTACTATAATCAGTCTTTAAGCTGAGCTCTGAGCAGCTTCTCAGTCTTTATCAGCCCAGGAGTGCCATCACAATATTTACCCTTTAAAAAAACATTCTGTTGTTTCCATGTTGTGTAAACTTTTAGTACGCTTTCGTCCTCAGGGTTTATGTTTGGACTGATGACCATGGCAGGAAGCTTAAGTGCTCTGCTCCGCTTTACTTTGACTACGCCATGTCATACATTCAGGACCTACTGACTGATGAAGACGTGTTCCCTACAAAAGCAGGTAGAGTGCATTTACATCGCGTGTTACCTAATTGCACGGCACGTTCCAGTTTCAGTTTTAGTTTTAAACTGTCATCTCTTCCTCGTTTCTCTAGGTGCAAAATTTCCGACAGGCTTCGTGTTTATGGTCCAGAAGGTGTTTCTGTTGTTGTTCAGGACAATGGCTCACATTTATTGGTCTCACTACACACAGGCCCAGCAGGTGGGTCTGCACCCGCACCTCAACACGCTTTTCATGCACCTGACGCTCTTCTGCCGGCACCATGAGCTGCTGGATCCAGAAGACACTGAGCCACTGCAGGACCTCATCACAGCTTTGGGACGACAAGGGTGAACTTAAAGGGCAGCCGCAGATATTGTACAATCACATCATTGCACGCTTATTTATTTCTTAAAGCTGATTGTCTCTCACCACTCTGGGCCAAATTTAAACGTATTCCCCAGTATAGATTTTTTAAGAAAGCTCTATAAGGAGAGCAATGCAGAGAAACAATGCTCCTGTTGTTCTGTAGAATTGGACTGAAGTGTATGACTATTGCATGCTTTGTTTTGTTGTTGTTTTTTTTGCTTTTTTAACATAATGGTGCACTATTTTACTTTGATAAGGTCAAGATCTTCAAGGTCACTTAACCAAACAAACCCAGTTTGTGCCATTTTTGTATTTTGTGCACCGTGCAAAAATGCTACATCTGCATCTTCATGTATTTTAGAGTACTTTGTAATAAATATTTGTGAGCCATTATCTGTACAGTGGAACTGAAAAGCATGCATACTTTATTTTGGAGAAATTAGTGAATACAAAAAAGTGGGAAGAATTGGTTAAAGACAGGGAGGGACTTTGTGTTTGATCCTGAAGTGCGTGCTGGTGCTGTTTTATTTAGCATATTTTCAGGTCTTTGGTTTATAATCAGCGCCACCTGCTGCTAGTAAAGGAATCCAGCACGTATCACATTTTCCCTGCACCATCTGTAAATGTTTGTTTACATACCTGATTTATGATTAAACTGACTTATGAGGGTTAAATGGTGGTTTTTCAGTTTTAATGTAAGGGTGTTGACAAAACATCTGGCTGCACTGGTTCTCTCATTTCAGATGTGAACGCCCTTTGAGGCCCACAAAGCTAAGGGATCACATACTGTAAACACTGAATTGTATGAATATTTTTGTCTCTTTTCAGAGTCGTCTTTTTTCTTTTTAGTGCTGCACAACAAATAGAAAATGTGCCTCTTCAAGATACAAACTCTACTGTACATTCTTCTTGGTTAACAGCGTTGTTTCTGGGAAGTGTCAGGCCACTCGAGCCACACTGCATTAAATGAGCCTAACGGGCCCTGTGCCATATGCAGTCTTGATCAAAAGTTTAAGTTTAAAAATAGCAAAAAATCATATTTTGCATATTTGTATCTTAACAAGGTTGCAGATAGTTTCAACATGCAACAAGAAGAAATAGGAGTGAGACAAAACATTTTTTTTAAGCATGCAATTTATTGAAAACAAAGCTTAAACTGAATCTAGCTGTTTGATTTCTGTTTTGGGGGAGTTTACAGGTTTTTTTTAAGGTGTGGTCTTAAACTTTTGATCAGCCGTAAAAGTTCTAAACATTAACTCAGTAAGGAGTAGCTCCACCGTTATTGTTGATCACTTCAAAAAATTGTTGCGGCATGCTTGATGCAAGCGTTTCCATGAGGTGAGTGGGTACATTTCTCCAAGTGTTGAAGAGAACTGCCAGAAGGGCATCTACTGTCTGGAACTGTTGCCCATTTTTGTAAACTTCCCTAGCCATCCATCCCCAAAGGTTCACAGGGAACATGCAGGATGGTCCAAAAAAGTGATGTTATTGTCCTGGAAGAAGTCCCTTGTCCTGCGGGCAGTGTGTACTGTAGCGCTGTCCTGTCGAAAAACCTAGTTGTTACCACACAGGCCATGGCCCTGTCATGAGGGATGCTTTCTGCAACATCTGGACAAACCCAGCGCCCGTTTGATGCCCCTGCACCACCTGAAGCTCCTGCTATTACTAATTATACGTAAGGATAATTAGTAATTTAAAAATGATGTGCTTACCCCTGATGGCATATATGTCAGCTATGCTTCCATTAAACAATAAGCTCTCACCTCACTGCCCCCCCCCCCTCTTCTATTTATTAATACTTTATTTACATATTTCTATTTTTATCCGATTGTATATTTGTACATTTTATATATTTTTTCTCTAAATACTGTTCATATGTATATAGTGCTGCAGAAACTCTGCACCCCCCACCATGTTTGCACCGAGTAGGAGATGCTCTGTATGTCTGTATAGTGACAATAAAGGCATTCTATTCTATTCTATTCTGTAGCTTCCAGGTCATATGAAAATCTGTGTTTTCATCTCTTTTTCTCGCACCTCATGCCCCAGATACAGACATAATCAGGATATATTGCTTGGCTATTTTTATTTAAAAGATTTTTCCTTTGCCCAATATAAGCATGTAGTCCTATATTTCTCCACAAGGAGGCAGCAAAACCCCCTACATTTTACCAGCAGACTTAAAAATACAAAGAAATTTGAAAAATGATTAACCTAAAAGAAATGTATTTATTCATTTCATAACTTCATTACTGAACAACACTGTTGCAAAAAATGATTGATCTCTCATTTCAACTGCAAATTCTGTTCAAATTAAAAGGAAAACATGCCTCTTTCATTATACAGGGTGGGCCATTTATATGGATACAC